AAAGAGAGGGAAAAGAAGAGCTCTAAATGATACAACAGCAAGTGTGTTTAGGGGTGTTAAATAGCTGACCATATTAATGTTTTTGGTTGGATCATTGAACACAACTGTTTGCAGTCTCACTGTTTGAATGTCCACTTTGTATGCTTTGATACTGTGATTTGAGCAACTATCTCTAAGATGATAATATGTAATCTATTAACTGGTGATTTCTTACTGTTTTTTTTTTTTTTTTTTGTAGTTCTGTATTACTTGTACCCTTACACTGCTTTGTTTTGTTTTGGTTTTTCTCTTTTTCCTTTTAAATAAAGTTGAAAAAAAGGGAAAAAAAAAGAAGGTGGAAAGACATCCCTTGCTCCTGGATAGGAAGAATAAATATTGTGAAAATGGCCATCCTTCCAAAGTTGTTATACAGATTCAATGTAATCCCAATAAAAATATCACCAAAATACCTCATAGATCTAAATAAATCACTCCTAAAAGTCATCTGGAACCAGAAGAGACCTATAATAGCAAAGACAGTTCTAAGCAGCAAAGGCAAGGCAGAAGGCATCACAATTCCTGACTTGAAGTTATACTACAAAGCGACTGTAGTAAAATCAACATGGCACTGGAATCAAAACAGAGCTGAAGATCAATGGAATAGATTAGAAGATACAACTACAACTACAAACACACTCATCCACCTTATCTTGGATAACGGGACCAAACAGGTTCACTGGAAGAACAACAGTCTCGTTAATAATAAATGGTGTTGGAAAAACTGGTTCTCCATATGCTGAAAACTAAGACTAGACCCCATGCTTATCACCATGTACTAAATTAAAATCTAAATGGATCAAAGATCTAATATTAAAACAGAGACCCTATATCAATTGGAAGACAAGTTGGATAAAACCCTCGTGGACATGGGGGTAGGTGGAGAGTTCATGAATAGGAATCAAACCACACAGGAAATACTTCCCAGAATCAATAACTGGGGTCACCTCTTATTAAAAAGTTTCTGCATGTCAAAAGAAATCTCTAGCATAATGAAAAGAAAACCTACCAACTGGGAAACAATCTTAGTGAACTGTCCCTCAGACAAAGTACTTGTGACTAAAGCATATAAGGAATTAAAAGAAATCAGACCCCCAAAATGTAAGGATCCAATCCAAAAGTGGGCATCTGAGATGAATGCACAATTCTCAGAGGAAGAAATACAAATGGCAAATAAATACATGAAAAAATGTTCATCATCATTACTCATTAGAAATGCATATTATAACCACAGTGAGAGTCCATCTCACTCCAGAAAGATTGGCCAGGATCAAGAAAACTACCAACAACAAATGATGGAGAAGATGTGGGATAAAAGGAACTCTCCTGCACTGTTGGTAGGAGTGTAGACTGGTGTAACCATTGGGGAAGTCAGTCTGGAGATTTTTCAGAAAGCTGGGATTGGAAGTCCCATTTGTTCCAACTATTCCACTTCTTAGCATTTTCCCAGAAGAACTGAAAACATCATAACACAGTGATATATGTGCACCCATGTTTATAGCAGCACAATTTGTAATCGCCAGATCTTGGAAACAACCTAAGTGTCCATCAACTGAGGAATGGATAAAAAAGTTGTGGTATTTCTATACAATGGAGTACTACTCAGCTATAAGAATGATCACATTGAGATATTTATAAATAAATGGATGCAGCTTGAGACCATACTCATAAGCAAAATAAATCCAATTTACATGTATAAATACTGAATAGTTTTCCTAGTGTAAGGAATGGTAAGAATACATAAAAGTATGTGGTAATCATGATTCCCCATTATATTGCTTTGAAGCCTTACAACATTTTCATTCATTAACTGGAATGGTTTTATTCTGGGTTGTTTGATTTTATTGTCTATGATGGTATGAACAGCTATTTTGAAGAAAACAAGATATTATAATAGTGGTGATTTAATATCATCTTATTTTGAAGTCACACCAAGCTTTTGTTCTTCTGTCTCCCTTGATTTTATCAGATTTATCTAACTGGATTTTATTATATGTGATAGTATAAACATAATATTTTATAGACAAGGAGTTAATATAGTAACCTTTGTTCCTTTTCTGTTAGTTGACTCTGAATACCCTATAATACTTTCATTCTCTTGAATGGTTTTACACTGTCTTTTTGTGTTTAATACTATAGTATATGAAGGTATACTCAATTATTTCAAGGAAAAAGACACTATGGTAGCTACTGGTATGTCGGATTATCTTGTGGTGAAACACTATGTTGCTTAAGCTGTTCTGTTCTGACCTGTTTTGTTATGTCCTCTTTTATCTTAATCTTTTTTTAAATAAAAAAGAGAATTAAATGGAAATAAATGCAGACAGGTCATGCACACACGTACCAGCTGCTACTTTTAATTTACCTCAGGAATGTGCTCTTCAAATATGATTTACTGTCCAGTCACATTTTGCTAATATGAGGCATTGCTATCTATCTTTCAGGCCATGCAGGAGGATTTTGTGTGGTGTGTATAATGCAGGCACATATTATCCAGGCACTCAGTCATCTTGGGGATGCTATTAAGCCCATCTCTGTGATCAGTGAACTGCAGGGTAAGTATCAATTGCGGAAGTATTTCTTGGCAATTAGTGTTTTCCTGAGATGAGGGCTGATATCACTAGTCCAGTGATCCCCACACATCAGCCTCCCAGGTGGCCAGGACTACAGGTATGCACAGTCATGTCTGGCTTTTAGTTAGTAATAGTGGCCTAGATGATTTTTAAAGTCAAAAGTTTATAACAAAACAAACTACATGTGTTTCATTGTATATGGGTATCTCTTTAATTAGTAGCACATATTTAGCAATACTTTTACTATATAAACAATTTAAAATTTTTTTAAATTATGAAAATACAATGAAGACCATAGTTTAATATCAAATTTTAAATGAGGTAAAACTCAGTTTGTTAATAAAATCATTTATAGAAGCCATTTCTCAGTTGGATTTCTGTGCTAAGTAGTCTCTGCTACTTGCCCACAAATTTCTTTAAATGGTTTGTAATTGATTTTAATTTGGTAAATGAACCCTGTTTTATACGAGGTGACAAGAACTGTCAAAATAAAGATAGTCATACTTGGCCAGGGAGTTAGCTCATTAGCCTAGGATTACAGGCTCATACCAACACACCAGGCTCTGTGTACTTTATAAACTAACCTTTCTATCTTTGTAGTTAGTTAAGTTGTAATATAATGCATAGAAATAAAAAAAGCTCTTGGCTCTTAATCTGTCATCTAGGTTGGTAATTGTAGGGATGCATAACCATGCTGTGGTTAACTGTAATCATTTGCCTTAAAAGTTGCTAAAGATTAAATATTAAATAGGGCTTTGGCATTATTGGTGGAGCAGATTGAACACTACAGAAATCTTTAAATCATACTGGAGTCTGGCACAATTTTAGCGAGGACATATTTTTATAAATTAACAAGCTATCAATGAACACTAAAATTTAAAAGACAATCTTTAAGGTAAAAACATAAAAAGAATACGGATTGCTGTGTTGAATATCTTCTCCTCCTGCTGCTCCTCCTTGTTTTTGTCCTTGTCCTCCTCTTCCTTCTCTTACTCCTCCTCCTTTTCCTTCTCTTTCTTTTTGTACACCCACGCAAATTTTTTTTACAACTGAGCTAAATCCCAAGCCCACTACTCTTATTTTTCTATGTCATTCACTTCCAAGACAATTCTGTACCTTCACCATATTTACAATTCTGTCCAGTTGCTCTCAAACTTTTCTGTGAAGTTTGCCCCACTATACTCTTCCACCTGTAACATTGAAAGGGTAGAAAGTATATTGAGGCTCCAGGTACAGCTCAGTGATAGAGCACTTGTCTAGCATGTGCAATGTCAGGACAGGTTTTGATTGATTATTTATACATTTATTTTTAGCAGGTTTATGAAATCACTTCTAATCTTTAGAAAAGTGTGATTGTTCTGACTGTATGCACATGTGTACAAATATAGTTGAACCGTGCAATTGCTATTTTTGTAGGTCAAGTTGATGGAGGAGTGGCAATTTTACATGATTTCAGTTAGAGCATATTTCTGTATTTTCATACATATGCAAAACTAGAAGCATAATAGGTTTTCTGTTATTCATACATTTGTGCTGATGTCTTGTTTGTAATTTGAAAAAATAATTTATTTTTGCAACTGCTTAGTTATCGAGAAGGATTGAAATGAGAATATAACTTGTTCTTGGTCATTGGTACAGGATATAGGTTGAAAATGTGTGTCCTGCATCGGGTCTCTTTTGGATTCGAGTGTCATATTCACAGTGGGTGCACTCACCTCACATTTTGAATGAACTTGAGTCAACAGAACTGAGGTTGACTTTATTCAAATGAATTATGTCAACTTGGTAAAGACACGAGACTCACCCTGTGGCTGCTCCTGGACTCTCAGGAACTGCTGATACTGTGGGCTCTAGGTGACAGTGCATAGTATTTGTGTGAGTGCTGCTTTCTTATTCAGTATAATGTTTGGCAGTTTCTAAGGAACATAAAGTGTAACTTTGAAGCCTAGGCATTTAATATGTAATGATAAAAGCTTGTCTTAATATTTCTAGGTATAGCTAGTCACTTCCAATTTGGAAACCAAGAAGATGCTCACGAATTTCTTCAGTACACTCTTTTTTTATTTTATTTAAAAGGAAAAAGAGAAAAACACAAAACAAAACAAAGCGGTGTAAGGGTACAAGTAATACAGAAATACAAAAAAAAAAAAAAAAACAGTAAGAAAACACCAGTTAATAGATTACATATTATCATCTTAGAGACAGTTGCTCAAATCACAGTATCAAAGCATACAAAGTGGACATTCAAACAGTGAGACTGCAAACAGTTGTGTTCAATGATCCAACCAAAAACATTAATATGGTCAGCTATTTAACACCCCTATGCACACTTGCTGTTGTATCATTTAGAGCTCTTCTTTTCCCTCTCTTTTTTACAACAAAATTTACACATTTTGGGTTTTACTACTCCTTAGTTCTTATTACTTTTTTGGGGGGGAGAGAATAAAGTCAAATATGGCAAAACAAAGCTGTCAGTCAAAACCAAGGATAGACATAGCACATGATGTAAAACAGAGTACAAGGTTATCAACAATGGTTATCAACAATGTCTCTTGTTTCCTTAAAAAGAATTTTCTATCTCATCAGATATTATAAAGTTGAACAAAAGAGTAGAGAACAAGACCAATAAAACTTAAGCATTGTAAACATTACAGGACTTCCAAAGGAAACAATAGTCAAACCAGAATGGGCATCTTAGTGAGTCTTATTGCCTTCAAAGTAGTTGCCCTAATGTAAGTAATGAGTACACTCTTGATGCTATGCAGGAAGCGTGCTTACAGGGCAGCTATGAGTGAGTGCAAGTCATTTCTTCGGGTTACATCTCTGGCTTATCACACGTATTTTGCCTTTTATGTTGGACACTTTTTACTATTTGGCTTTCCATTGCCTGTTCCCCACTTGATTTGCATAATTTACAGTGTCTTAAATTTAAAAAGATGTGCTTACCATCACAATTTGAAGTTGTTAAATTCTAGATGTTAGTAAATGAATACTGTTTTTGCTGTTACTTAACTTCCAAGTGCCAGCATGCTTTGGCAATCTAAAAGTACTTCTTTCTAATTGAGCCAGACATTTTCTCTGTTGACCTACAGCCTTATAAATATGTTTCCTGCCTCTTGTCTCTGTTTCTCCCTCTCTGTTAGTTACCAGTTCCTCTAGCTTCTTCCTGAAATGTAAATGCAGACTCAAGAGAGAGATGGGCCAGACAGTTATGTAACGTTCCTAACTCCCCCTGCCCCTGCCCACACCCTGGTACCGGTACCTCCCTGTGCATTCCACTCACTGTCCAGGCCTGCGTGGTCTGGATGATGGCAGACTCTGCTTCCCTCCCTGCTTCACATCCCACACCGGGTGACGAGGCTGCTGGGACTGCCTGCCTCTTGCTGCTTTGCTTCTGAATCTAATTTCTGTCTTGATTTCAAAGTCCCTTCATTGTTTAGTTCCTTCCATCCTCTTCTTCAGATACTTACTGTGTTCCACCAGGCGGGGCTGATCTCTGGGTACCATGTAGACTAAGTTTTAAATTGCTCTCTTTTCTGCATGCTTGTTGTATTATAAATATGCATCCTTTAAAATCTAGTCATAGCATCTATAATTTTGCAGAATTCTTAAATCACTGTTTTGCCTTTTTCAGATTAGATAGACACACTCAGGCCACCACCCTCATTTATCAGATATTTGGAGGCTATCTAAGATCAAGAGGTAAGATTGTGTTCACAAGTCCATGAAGTGACACATGCGTGTGGTGTTAGAATGCCAATAATTGAAATAAGGGAAAATAGACTCCTTCTTCCTCTTCAGTGGCTGCCCCTATGTCAGTTTCTACTATGTTCTTCTGGTAGTTCCTTATTCATGAGGAACTGAGAGGGAAGTATAGAATATTTTGTTTTTGTCTTAACTTTAGTAGTAACAGATTCCTTCATACCTGCCATAGTGGTCATTTATTTTATTCTCCTTTGGATGGTTACTTAGCTTTCTATTCTGTTATCACTAGTGCATTACTGAACAGCACTCATGCTTTATGTCTGTCTTACTGTCTTCTCATTGCTGAGCAAAATACCTGAGATCTAAAATTAAAGGAGAAGAGATTTATGTAGCTCATAATTTGTAGATGTTTCAGTCCATTATCAGCTGGCAACAAAGCTGAGTGGCACAGCAGGGAGGCAACAATTCATGGTGGCAGAAGATGGCAAAAGAAGCAAGAGCAGAAAGACTGGGGGGAGCAAGCTTCTTTTCTCTCTTTGTATTGTATGCAAACTACCTGCCTTAGGGCAAGTGTAGGTAGCTTCATACTATGTCTGTGTTTTTTTCTTGCACAGGCTGAGGATGTTTACAAAGTGAGGATGTTGGATCCTGCTAAATTATTAGTTAGTCTTTTAAACTTCCCAAGTTGATCCAAAGAATTGACAATTATAGCACCTTAGGGTGTAAGCAACTGCACTAGGGCATGTTCTCTACATTGTGGGATGCAAATCTGCTGAGCTGCTTAGTTAAGCTCCTAAACTTTGCAAGTTGAGCCAATGTATCAACCATTACAATGTATAAATAAAAGGGTATGTGATAAATTCTTAATATTAGAATTTGAGTCATAAGTTATATTTTAAATTTTAATATTGGCATTTTGTCATTCTAAGAGGTCATACAAGTTTATATTTCATCCAGTAGTACACTAAGGTCCAAATTCTGAGGCTTTTTCATATGTGTGCGTAAGATTATCTTGTTTGCCAATCTAGCAGAAGAAAAGTTATACTGTTTTAATTATCTTTAATTTTAAACTTTTTAAATTCTGTTTGTATGGAAACAGCTGAGACTGCCATATTCATTACACTTTATATTTTTCACTTTATTTTTATTTCAGTCAAATGTTTAAATTGCACATGTGTTTCAGACATTTTTGATCCGTATCTTGATGTTACATTGGAGATACAGATAAATTTCATAATTTTTGTTGTGGTCAAGTTGTAAATCTTTATTTTCACTTAGTAAGTCTTAATAAAAAGTGTTTTGATAGCTGCAATGGCAAAACTTAATTGGGATGGGGGTAATCATCCTAATGGGAAAAGTTTTTTTTTTTTTTTTTTTTGTGGCCTTGGAAGTTAATCCCAAGGCCCGCTAGCCCTTAGTCAGTTTCCCAGTCTATTTTAAAAATCATTTTGAGGTTGAATCTGAATTGATCAAGCAGGACCAAATCTTACATTCCTCCGCCTTCAATCTCCAAAGTAGCTGACAACACAGCCACACCATGCCCATAGAAACAGTATTTTCCCCATTAAAATGCTGCTTTAATTTTCTGTGTCTTCTGCTTCCTTGCTTGCTCTCTCTGTCTCTCACACAAGCCACCGGCAGTGTGGGAAGATGTGGCATTGATGCTTTTTCCTCCCAGGATGTTCGCAGTGTTAACGAGGCATTGGCTCAGTTTGTGGAGCCAGAACAGCTAGAAGGAGAGAACTGCTACAAGTGTAGCAAGTATGATGGGGTGGTGTGTGGCTGGCAGTCCCTCATTTGGCCACTCCAGTTGAATCTTTAAATTAGAGTATTTCAGAGAAATAATGAGTAGAATTCTAGAACACCAAAAAAAAAAAAAAAACAAAAAAAAAACAAAAAAAAACAACAAAAAAAAACCATCCATACATTAGACATCTTAATCCCTTTTTTCTCTTGACTTCAAGGTGTAACAGTATGGTTCCAGCTTCAAAGAGCCTTTCTATACACAGACCATCTAATGTTCTCACACTGTCTCAAACGCTTCTCCAATTGTACCGGTAGAAAAATTGCCAAGGTATGTAGATAATGTTATTAACAGTTTATGTGGAGCCAAGATTTAAATGCCAGTAGCTTTTCAGGGTTACAAATGACCTAACTGAACACTTTGGGTGATTTACTTTCTACAGTTTTCTTGCATTGAATAGCAGGGGAAAAAAATCAAAGAATTGAGTGAAGAGTTTGGTCTGTGTGCTTAAGATTATATGCATCTTTACTATACTCTTGAGGTCAAGCCTGCTGAGAAAATTGGCAACTCTTATCTGTACTCTGGATCTGTAGTCAATACTTTGATATCCATGGTAATGAAAGTACACAGGTAGAGTTTGTATAATCTGAAAGTCCAAAGAGGACTTTCTCACTAGATCTTCCCTCTCTTTCATCCAAGTTTATTTTCTTATTTTCTGATTTTTTACTTACACTCAATTTTCCTATTTTCTTTCCTCTTACTAAAGATTGAAAGTGGTCAGAAATTCATAAACAAGGCTGACCATGGTGCACTCAGGAAGTTAAAGCAGGAAGATTAGGAGTTTGGGACCAGATTGAATGATATAGCAAGTTTAAAGCTATCCTGGCTTACAGAGTGAAGTCCCATTTCAAAAAACAAACAGAAATTGCAATGAAATAGCAGAGAAACAACTACTGTATTCTTAAATTATTTGAAGGAGTCTGGAACAGAGTCACCTGCCAGTAGTAGGGAGGCCGAGGCAGGAAAAATTTTGCAAGTTCAAGATCAGCCTAGGCTATGTAGTGACTTGAGGCCAGTGTGAGCTACAGATTTAAGATCTTGTGTCAGAAAAGCTACTTACTTATTTAATTAATTAAAACTAAAATAATTGGTGGTGAATGCCCAGAGTTGTCATTTTGTGACTATCACCTATGGTGTTTTTGGGGAATTCACTTAATTTATGTGGATCCTAACTTGTTTAAGGAAAATAAAGACTGCGAGAGAACCTTAGATATCCTTAGACCTGGTATCTTTCAGGTTAACCTTGTCCTTTGAAAAGTGACTCAGCACACTGGGTTTGTGCTGGAAAATCACTGTGCTGTGTAGTGCGGGTCTCCTGGGGCACCATAAATACCTTGTGCCTGAACATCTATGGCATTCTGTGCCTTTAGAAAGGACATTCTTTCTCCTTTGTCCATTTCTGTTTAGATTGTGAAATACCCAGAACAACTAAACATTAGAGCTTACATGTCTCAGCCCAGTGGAGAAGCCATGCAATACTCATTGTATGCAGTGCTGGTCCACACCGGATCTAAGTGCTGTGTGGGCCACTACTTCTCTTACATAAAAGTAAGCCATGTGGATTTTGCTTTTGCTTTTACACAGACTCTGTAAGACAGCAAGCACTAGCATTCTCTGGGGGGAAAGCTGGCAGGTTTACAAGTCATGTGTGAATGCTTCTTTTCCTCCTCCTTCTCACTGTGTCTTTGTCCACCTGACAAAAATCTAACATTTCTCTCTTGCTGGCTGTCTTTTGCAGGCAAGCAATGGCCTGTGGTACCAGATGAATGACTTCATGGTATCGCCCAGTGATATTTCATCTGTGCTGAGCCAGCAAGCCTATATACTCTTTTATATCAGGTACTGTCAGTGAAACAAGATGCCACATTTTCTGTATTGTCATTTTTTTTCATCTCACCCACTTTTTAAAAACCAGTGTTTAGGTTTTACAGTTTTGCATGCTCTCCAGAGTCAGGAGGACATTTCTGAGCTTGGGTTAAGAGCAGGAGTTAGCTCAGAGCCCCTTGGCACTCAAAATTGAGAGAGGCAGAGAAAGAGAAAGGTGATGAGTGAGATGGTGGGGTAGCTTATGCAGCTACCTGGACATGTGAAGTGGCCAGAGGGCTCAGGAAGGGAGCTCTGAACACCCTGCCTGTTCCCACCCAGCACCTCTCTAACACTGAGCACAGTGCTGGTTAGGTATCAGCCTGGGCTGGGATAAGAAGTTGGTTGATGCTGCTGTGGCTGTAAACTAACTTACAAATTCCAATTTTAGAAAGTTTCTGCTATGCCCTCCACAGTATTTCCTCCCCATTTCTCCCCACCACTGTCAAAGCAGAACCCAGAGCCTTAAGCTAAGCATATCTATAACTGAGCCACACAACAGCCCCCAAGGTGCCTTTTTTAAATATGGTGGCTTAAAGTTAATAATACCCTAAAGTGTTCAACAAATGCAGAATGATGTGTGGAAATAGTATGCAGTTGTCAAGAGTGAAAATTTTCTTTTCTTCCTTTTTTTTAGACAATTCCTTGCTGTGTCACCCATTGCCTGCTGAGTGTTTTTATACACCCCTCTCTTTTTTATGCTTTGAGAACGTGCTGACTATACAAGGAGGGAAAACAGTTTGTTATATGAGATCCTGGTGTTGAGCAACAGATGGACAGATGACCTGTCCAATCAAAGGGGAACCTTCTGTGCTGACCTGGCTCTGGCCTTCTCCCTTGCAGAATTTGCCTCACTGGAACAGGATCCGGGCACCAAAAAACACATCAAGTAGTTCCACGTGGAGTCCGAGTGGAAATCCCAGAGTCAACAGGCCTAGGCCTGCTCAAGCTTTTACTTCTGTTTCAAACCAGTGAGTTTATAGACCCTCTGAGAGTCCACAACACCCCAGGAGGGCCTCTGTAGAAATCTGAAATTAAATTCATAGAGAATAAAATTGTTCCCGCATTCAATTTTTTTAATTTGAAGAGAATAAAACTGAAAGAAATAGAATAGAAAATCAAAACAAAACAATGAACATGATATAAGAGTTCAAAACAAGGCAAAAGGAAACCAACTGGCTACCAAGATACTTCTTTCTATCTCCAAAATAACTTCCTATAGTTATTGTGCCTTCCATCAGGCACAATAAAATCCAACAAAATAAAACTAATCAAAAAAAAAAAAAAAACAATGAAAGCAATACAGGCCTACAAAACAAGACTGCAGGAGTACAACAGTGGCTACCATAACGCTTCTTCTTTTCTCAAATGTAGTTGTTTATACTATCAGACATAATGAAATCAAACAAAACAAAATAGAAGTGTCAAAACAAAACAGTGTACATGATCAAGTCTTCAAGACAAGATAAAAGGGAACAGCTACCGTAATGCCTCTTGTTATCTTCAAAATAACTGCCATACCATCAAGCATAGTAAAATCAAATAAAACAGTGAAATAAAACCAATCAAAACAAAACAATGAAAGCCATACAGGACTTCAGGGCAACACAATTGGAATAAAACAGTGGCTACCATAAAGCATCTTGATATCTTCAGAGTAGCTGCTTACACCATCAGACATAATAAAATCAAACAAAACAAAATGAACAAAATCAATTAAAAGAAAACAAGTCAACCAATACATTACTCCAAACCAGATAATAGGAAAGCAACAATGGCTACCATACTAATACATTTTGTTATTTCAGAAATAGTTGTTCATGCCATCAAGTAGGCTAAAATCAAAATGAAGAAGTAAAACCAACATTAAAAACAAGCTAACACAACAATGAGAAGAATACAGTGTTTCAAAAAACGATTTATATTAACATGCCCATTGCCCTCCCCCCGACAGCTCTTCCCCTTTCGCCTTCACAACATCTGCTGTACATGTTGGATCCCACTAAATCCTTGAGTTCTAAAGGATCCTACTAGGGAGACAACACCAGGTTCACTCATGTGGCTCTGAACCATTCAGCCATGAACATGATCTCAAGTTGTATCCGTTTACCCACCAGAGCCTCGAGGTTATCTTTTTTTCTAGCTGAGTAGCTCTCCATTGTGTAGAAATGCCACCTCTCTCCTCTCCTTTCTACAGCTGATGGGCACGAGACCCTACTGTTTTTCTGATTCCTGGTCTCATAGAGCTCTTTTCTCTCCTCAGACGTTTAGCCTATTCATTTCCTTTTGAGTTTAATGTGTTTGTAGAATAAAGCATAGTAATGAATCTTGTCCCCGCTTCCACTCTGCCTGTGTTTCTTTTTATTGGTGAATAGAGGCATTTACATTAATGTTATGGCCTCCATGCACTGGCTGGTCTCTGCCAGGCTAGTTTCCTGCCACTGGCTGCTTACTTTTCCACTCCATTCAACTACGTTCCCCATTCTGTGTTCTCCTTCGGATGCTCTTTCTGGAATGGTGGTGGTTTTATCTCTCTAAAATGTCCTTCAGTATTCTTTGCAGGGTTGGTTTTGGCCATGAATTGCTTCAGTTGTTCTTTGTCATGAAGTATGTTGTTTCTCCACTAATTAAAAAAAATGTTTTGCAGGCTGTATCAATCTGTGTTGGAAACTGTTTTCGTTCGGGACTTGAAATGCTTCTCTCCAAGCTCTTCTTGACTTGATAGTTTGTGTTGAGAAGTCTGTCATGATTCTGATGGGTTTTCCTTTGCAGGTGATTTGTTTCTTTTCTCTAACAGCTTTTAATATTCTGTTCTTGGGTTGAATTTATGGAACCTTGATCATTATACGTCTCAGTGGAGATTTCATTTGGTTATGGCTAGCTTGAGTTCTATATGCCTTACCTGTATATCACATTCTTTCTCCATTATTGGGAAATTTTCTACTACTATTTCCGTAAATAGAATTTTGTGTTTTCCTCTGCTTTTTCACTGACACCTATTATTCTTAAATTATTTTGCTTTCCATTATCATGCAGTCATTGAATTGTTGTTTCCTGGTTTCTTGCTCTTTTTAAGAAATCTTTCCTTTCTGTATCGCAAGCTGCGCACCTGTCTTCAAGGTCTGAAATTCTATTTTCAGTTTCTTTCCAATAGTTTTACCAATTTTCAATGGAGGTTTTAATTTCCTGAATGTGTCTTTCAATCTGCTTCATGCATTCTAAAGCTGTCCTATTTTGTTCATTCAAGGTTTCTCTCATTTTCCTATGGTTTTCCCTTTTAAAAATCTGTCTTATTAAGAGATGTTTAGCAAGTCTTTTATCATGCATTTCATTTCATCTTTTACCTGAGATAGTATTTCTGTGCACTAATTTGTTTTAGAGCCTCCTGAAGTTGTCTCTTTAATTCAGTTGCCATCTCTTTAGAAACTTCAGACGCGCAACTCCCGATCTCTCCCATGCTTTTCTCTTCTAGACTTGCTCTGCTTGGTTTGAGTCCATGGGATGCCTTTTGCTTCTTCATCTTGACACTTTCTTGGGTTCTTCCAAACAAATGGGTAGTGGGGTCCCAGACCCTTCCTGCATTGGCTACAATTTCTCCAAAGTGTGCAAGTTTGATTCTCCTGGATTCTCCTGACTTCTGTGGCCACAGGGTGTGCTGGTACAGGTCCTGCTGTTGCTTTTCCCCAGTCATGCTTTCTCCCTGGGTTGGGAGCATCTCAAGGGCTGCTGGAGTGTGCAGGGGCAAGGGCTGGTGCTGACTCCCTATTGAGATGGTTCTCGGCAGGCTGTCCTCCATTCAATTTTTAAAACAAATCAGTGTATTGACATAGCTGTAACACAACTCAGGAATAAGAGGAAAGGAATATGGTGTGAAGCTGTGGTTGCTTCATGTGGAATCTGCAGATGAACCACTGCTGTAGGACACAGTGTATCAGTGGGCAGATACCTGAGCACCTGCAGGTGCACCCAGTGATCATTCAGCATGAACACTGCATCCAGAGTTGCCATCTGCACCACTGGGCTGTGAGCCACTTTGCAGAAGCTTCAGCCACATCACAGTGTGACCATTTCTCAGTTTACACAATCTTTTACCTCCTGGGAAGTGTAACATCTATGGAAATCATCACAATAATATGACTGAGGTTTTCACCCCCATAGATGTGAAGACATGTCAGGGAAGAGCCTCCTCCATGGCACTGTGAGCACCCCAGATGGCCCCCAAGACCCTATGTTAGGGATGTGGCCTTGTTAAAGAAGAATGGAGAGGCAGAGAACACTCCATCCCCCTTTGCCTTCAGATAGAATAGCTGGGTGCTATTTGCACAATGACTTTCCCCTTGTTTCTTTCCTAATTCACTTTGGTGCTCAAAATGAATGTGCAAGAGAATTAGTGCATATACACTTAAGTCAGGCCATGCATGCACTGTGGCCAAGCACATGTGCTTTTATGTGCAGCCTCAAAAATCCCCTGCTACACTCAGGGCTACTAGCTTGCCCACGGGCTGTACTGTAGGAGTGATCTCCTCCTGGAGAGTGGAGATCACGGTGGGGGTTGCACTGTTTCCACAGCCGTCAGCTCATTGTGAGAGTGTGCTGGATGCTTTCCTGCCCTCACTTACTACTACAGAAAGTTTTCCCAGAGCCTCAGTGAGTCCCTTAGTTTTCCTTAATTTAAGGAGTTGTTGGCTCTGTTTGGAAATAGCTACCTCACCTCTGAGCTTCCAAGAGAAAGAAAGGAGGCAGGAAAGTCATCAACTAATGACTTAGTTCTTGAGAATTAGAAGCATATCTGGAAACAAGCAAAATGCAGAGCTGCAGAATTATTGTTATGGAAAAACAGGAAGGGTTGATGTAAATTTTGTTTTTATTTAAAAAAGAGCAAATTTGGTGTCCAGAGATGGTAGCCTGATATTGGCCCTTAGGCATCTATATTTAAATCGATAAAACATTTAGCAAATGTAAGCCATGACCATACCTACAGAGCAGTCATGCTAACTATTGGCTTATCTCTTATTTTTGGTGGGATGCAGTCCACGTGGAACAAAGCAAAGTCTGTTGGGCAAACTCACTGGGGAGCTTGAGGCTGCAGTGCTGTTGGTTGTTTGCATGAGAAAGTGGACCTGATCACAAGTCTGTGCCAAATGTTTATGAAGGCTTTGCTGGCCCTGGACACCAGCCACAAATCAATGAGGGGTTTTTTTTTTTTTTTTTTTTGTCTTTTTTTATCAGTACTGGGGATCGAACTCACTACTGCCTGCTTGCAAGGCAAGCACTTATGCCGCTGAGCTAAACCTCCAGCCCAGCCACAAATCAACGAGAACTGTTACCTCAGAAAAGAGTTCAGCCTGAACTGATGTGTGTTTGCCTCTTGTAAAAATTTTTGTAACAAGAACAAGACAAGCATGGGTGCAGACCCACTTTATGAGCCCTGTGATGCTGGGAAGGTAACACAGGACTGCAGCAAGGTGAACGGGTTGTTACCTGAGAGCCTGTGGCACTCTGGTCCAGCCGGGACAGTGGAGCAGCTGAGCCTGGCTCCCTTCACACAGTCAGAAGGCTGACGTGAGCCCGGGCCCTTGGTTTCCCTCAGGGGTGACCAGTGTGGTGACACAGGGGCTCAGAGTCAGAATACAGGAGAATGTGCCAATGCACTGCCTTCTACTCAGCCACAGAGTAGAAGGGGTCTCCTGAAGGGGACCCTGGGCACAGGTATGTCAAAGGGTGCGATGAAGTTCAGGCTGTCCAGAAGGTTCCAGATCACACTCCACAAAAAATAAGCAGCCGTAGGCAATGTGACCATGCAGGTTACCATAACTGTCATGACTGTTCCTCAGCTGGCGAACATGTACAGAAAAGCAGGGGTAGAAGCCAGAGCCGAATCCAGAGCAGGAGCAGGAGCCAGACTGAAGGTCATTGAGATAGAAAGTGACACTGCCACATGAGAAAGCACAGCAAGCCGGAGTGCCATGCTGTGCAGCACCGCAGTGCCAACCAGCACCCTCTGTGCTGTGGAGACAGAGTCACTCCTGGGGAGCCCTGTGTTCTGAGCAGATACAGCTCCCACCACTCCCAAACCTGGGGTGGGGCTGAGCAGGACTGGAGCCCATACCGCCCCTCCGGCAGGGAGCATCGCAGGCTTCCAGAGAAGTCTGACCCCAAGAAAATGTGGTGGGACCAGTGCAGAAACCTCAACAGGTACACTCCATACGAAGGCAGGCAGCGCAGTGTGAAACGGTCACACAAGGATTCCTCCCAGGCCAGGAAGGGTCAGGAGCTGCCTGCCCTGCTGTGGGAGTGGACCGGCTTCCACAGCCCACACACTGGTGCTTCACCGCCTTTCCCTCTGCACCCCGAGTGCTACCCTCAGGAGAAAGCTGCCTTCGGGGCTGACCACAGTGGCCGCAGCCTGTCGCACCGGATTCGTGGACGTGAAACCGTGAGATCAGGCAAGCGCAGGTACCAGAGTGCAGAAAGTATCTGTAACGGGGGTAGCACACCAAAGAAAGCCCGCAGGAGCCTACCGAGAGACCTGGAGGAGCCTAACAAATCTAAAGCCAAACACCATGAGTGGGAGCACCGGTGAGTGTGGGCTCTGCCAGCAGGGTCCAGTCCCTCAGCTCTGTGGGTTTTGAAACTTCACTGTTTCTCTGCATTTCTGAAACGGTGCAGCTTTTACCTCCTGTATCATAAAATGCCTCATTTCGCCATTCTCAGTGAATGCTTTGTAAATCCTAGGAATAATTGTGAGTTCTGTAGAAGTAACTTGGTGACTTCAAAATTGATGGTCAGGTAAGTTACATTTCATAATTTTGTGTTTTTTAAAAATTGAGTGACTAAATGGAAGCAGTCAAAGGTAGGGCACAGATCTGTTGGTATTTGCCCTGTATGACTACAGTGGATTCTGAGGGGCATCATCTATTGTCTTGGTCTTTGTCCAAGAATCTCAATACAAAACCTAAAAACAGTCATATTTTTAAAATGCTAAATAGGTTGTTGATTGTGTGTGTGTGTGTGTGTGTGTGTGTGTTGGGGATGAGACCCACAGCTGTGCTCATGAGGCCAGCACCTGCCAGGGAGCCACAGGCCCAGCCTTGGCCGCCGCCTTGAAACCAACTGCTTCATGAGAAGATGAGTGAGGATGGCTGGAATTCCTGTGTATTCTATTTAACTTCCTTTAAAAACCTAAAATCCTAGCAAAGGAGGGCCAAAAGCTGTATATAAACAGGCAACGGTTACTTAGGGGGTAAATGAAAGCAAATTACCAACCCCTTCCTCCTCTAAGTCTCAGACACTGGAAAAAGGTTTTGCTTCTACTTTCTTCCTTTTTCCTCTTCCTTTTTCTTTCTCTCTCTTTCTCTCTCTCTTTCTCTCTCTCTCTTTCTTTCTTTCTTTCTTTCTTTCTTTCTTTCTTTCTTTCTTTCTTTTTTTCTTTCCTCTTGTCTCTCTGTTTGTCTTTTTCCTTTTCCTTCTATCACTGATTTCAGTAGACGTCACATACGTCCATGTTTCCAGCTGACAGCCCCAGCTCCTGAGCACGGAGCCTGTGGTGGGGGAGTCAGGTGTGCTGAAGTTGATGAGTTTATGGCCCTGGGCTTTAAAATGATTTACAGCTGAAAGTGGAGAACCCTTCTGACCTAGCTAAGAACTGACCTGTAGCTCTACAATGAGAGCCTTCAGTAAGTGGTCAGTACAATGCGAGGTGTTGTCTGAGGTGGTGCTGGCGCTTGTGTTGCTAATATCTTGCTGCTGCTTCTGCAGGTGTCTGCTGGACCCAGATCTCCCAGTCGTGCAGTCAGACACTGAGCCCTGCAGATACAAAAAGAAGAGGCACTCAGAGAACTTTGGAAAAGAACTAGACTGCACTCACCCAAGGCCTCAAGCCGTGAGACTGTGGGCAATTTCTGGAGATGATAGATCAGCTTCCTGCTTGCTGACCACCTGCCCGAAGGGCCTCGGTCTTTTCCCAAAGAAAAACAAGCAATTAACAGTAGAGAGCAGGGTGAATGGTTGCCAGTATGGCCAGGGTAAGAGGCAGTTTGTGGAATTAAGAGAAAAAATTCTTTCACAATCTTGTTTTGAAATGGAGACTGGCCCACGGAGGTGTAACCCCAAGTGCTGGGAAGGTTGTGTGAGTAATGCAGGGCTCATGCCTCGCTGACCTCGACTCACAGGCCCTGTGTGATTCGCTATCCTTGTGCAGTTTGGATGCTTGACACTGATCCATTAGCACTAAGGATGGTTTCTTGGAAATGGAATTTATGGCCCTTGAAATTCATGGCTCTCTGCGTGTCTAAGTATTTATTTAAAGGGAGAAATTACTGTTTTGGAAGCATTTTGGCAGTGATGCTTTTGCACATTTAGAGAGTATCCTAACTCATAATTTGATAATCCAGGCCACTCAGAAGTCAACTGCCACTCTAAAGGTGACGCCTTGGGGTGGCATCTGCATCTCACTCTGGGATACTGGGCATCTTGGATTCTTGTGTGTCAACTGTGTCTTCCTGTGAGTTAGCAGCTCTTTGTGCTCTGATTGCAGTGGGGCAGCCCCTCCCCCTTTCTAACTGGTTCCCCAAGGAGGAGCCCTGAGAAGCTTGTTAAGATTGAAAGTGACAGGAATGGGTCCTGGGACCCAGTTTCCAAGCTGCAAGTAGAAGACCAAAGCAGGTCCTGTGCCTCTCACATCAGCTGTGAGGTAAGGTGGCTTTCATGTCTTCAAAGCCTCCAAGGAGGAGTAGGAATTTGTGTCATCTGAAGACTGTGTGAAATACAAATGTCATGGTCTGCAGACTTCAGCTGAAGCACAGCTGGTGTCTGTGCATGGCTGGTGCTCCTGCCAGAGGAAGGTGGTCACTGCTGAGACCGCACAGCCCACCACAAAGTGTTTATCCCCTGGCCCTTCACAGAAAAGAAAGCTCAGATGAAATGTGTTTTCTTGGGGAGGTCCAGTCAGGGACAGACCTGTGCCTACTGTGTCCCCTTGAGTGCATGCAGCTGTCATAAGTATGATGAGAAGCAGGCCTCAGGAAGCCTGAGGCCACCACAGTGGGTCCAGGCAGAGTCATCTCTGTGCCAGGACTGGAGCGAAGCAGTGTGGCATTTGCTGTTTGTGTTATGGAATTGTGTGCATTTGTAGAGCGTTTTCACATTACTGTTTCGTGATTTGTGGAAGGGTGGGGCTTTCTGACCTCTGTGTAGTACTTGAGGATTTGGTAGTGAGAAGAATTTGGTCTGCATGATGGCAGCGTCCTAGCAGTGTTGGAATCTGTCATCCTGGCTGGGCAGGTGAAGCCTCAGGGCTTAGCAATGTGGAGACAGCAAGTTGACCACCAGCATTTTGGGCTGTGTGCACTCATCCACTGAGGAGCTGCAATCAGGTCATGTCTCACTCCCAGTGCACTGATGACTGGTTTGCAGCCAGCACTTCAACGGGGAGCACACACCAGTTTCCCTGGGCTCCGGGCCTCCTGAGATGGGCCTTGGCTGTGCCAAGTACTCTGCCATCTTACATGCGCTGGCCTTCCTGTGTCCTAACATTGACCGCTGACCTTTCTCCTGCAAGTTCCTGACCTTTGGCTTCATTCAAATCCAGTTAATTTCTTTGGCCCGAAGTCTGTTGCAGCCTCATGTGGGAACTCAGCAGTGTGATGGTGTTGGCATGGCCTGTTTCCTGGGGACAGGTTTGGGGACCGCTGTCTGACAATCCATCATCATGGGAACTCAGTTTACTTTCAGGGGGACTCTTGTGACAGGGGCTGTGTGCAGCTTGACATTGCTCAGACTGATTGGGACTGAAGGCAGGCAGCCAGTGTTAAGCTTCAACAAAACTATGTCTGATGAGAACCACTTCATTCAAAATGAGAGCACAGACACTAGAAATTGTACTGTCATTAAAATATTTCTTAACCTCTGCCTTTCAGGTGATTGAAAACTTGGCCTCAAAACAAAAAAATCACTAGTTAAGCTAAGTGCTTTCCCTGCCCATTTTCTTCTTCATAGAAGCACTGGGAAGGGACAGAGAAGGCATCAAAATTCTGAGGAGACCCAAAGGTCATGGAATCATGAGCTGTGGAAACAGCAACAGGGGTGGGGGGCCTCTGAATTCCAAGCCAGCACTGGAGGGTGGGGACCTCTTCTCCCTGGCTAAGGAAGGGGAGGTTCGGATTCCTCCCTCCTCCCTCCATGGAAGCAGCCCACAGGGAACCCCCATCAGAATCAGCAGTCATGGGATAAGCATCTGGGATGAGAAGCCCGTGTCCATTCCCCAGACAGCAGAGCCCATCACAAGAGCTCAGCACCTAGGTCTGGTGGTCAGGCTGAGGCTGGGTCATACCCCTCACCTGACACTGCCACTGTGTTGGGATGAGGTCCAGGTGACTTAGAGCAGAGCCTTCATCATGTCCCGGGTGTGTCTGAATCTCTTGTGTTCTGTGGTCCGTGCAGGTGGGGCCCATGTTCCATGTTATGCACTGGCGGCGGGAAAGGAAGCAGAGGGCCATTTAACTCATGAAAGGAAACTGTCTTTATGTGTCTCATAGTCAATCAGCAAGTGTGATTTTAAATGAACTTGGAAGTGAACTATCAAAAGATGATCAGTATGCAGTTAATTAACACTCTTACTTGTGTGTCCTCAAGGGAAAGCCTTAAGTCTGAGGACTGAAAGTCTTCTGGAGTGAAAGAGGATCTAAGGATTGGGAAGGACTGGCCACAGCTGGGTTCCAGGCTATGCAGGTGCAGTGTGGCCCAGCAGGTGGCGCCTCCCTGGCCAGGGAAGCTCCTCTGCAGCTGCCTGGCTTCCATGGGTTCCTCTTCTGCCTTTCAGGTGGCAGCCATGGCTTTAAGGGAAAAGAGCTTCTGGAACACCAAGGGGACCTGTGGACAGGGTGGAACAGAAAGAGGGGCTTTCCTTCTGGGGAGCTCCACCTTTGACTAATGCCTGTGCCTCTGTCTTTTAGATTCAACGTGTTCCACAGCAGTCATCCCAGCTCGGCTGAAATTATTAACATAAATTTGTTCAAATCTGTGTGGTGCCTCTTTAGTAAATGCTGTACATATTTTGCCATGGTTTTTGTGTTTTTTAAAAGTTTTTATCATTTCTCATTTGCTCCTATTCCAAAAGGATGAAGACTTTCTACACCTGCAGATCTATGTAAAATGCTGTGTATATACATCACATTGAAAATAACACCCAGGAACATAGCATCTCACGTGCTGCTGAACTGCACAATTACACACTCAGGCTGAGGACGCATATTTCATGTAGTGTTCCTCCAAGTTAGACATGTGATGGTGCAAGACCAACTGGGAAACCATGGAATTATTAAAAGGACAAACTGACAGCACAGGGATTTCATTTACAGACTTAAAGCTCTCAGCTAAACCTTTGAGGGCAGTCTGTTTTCTGTGATGTCTGACACTAGAAATTAATTTGCTTCCTATTTTAGTTGTATTGAAATTTGAAAAGGTATTTTATAGACAAGTTTTGTTTTTGAACTCTGAGTAGCTATTTCAATCAATTTGCCAGCTATGCTGAGTATACACACTATTAATGTATAATCCAAATACTTGGAAAGCATGCAGGACATTATCATTACATAACACTTTTTTATACTGAGTCTTGTCACCTTCAGGATCCTGGAGTCAGTTGTCAACCTGGTCCCTAGGTTTCTATTTATGGACAAAATCATGCTGTGATTTTATTTTTCATAGGGATATGCTACCATGCTGGAGTAGGGAGAATGGTATTCAGTAGTGTCTGTCTGAATAATCTGCATGATTTAGACAGTTTGTGCTGTTCTGAGATTTCTAAAGTTTGATCTTTGTTCTTTTAAAGATGTTCCCATCTTTAAAGCACTTGTTCCACTGTAAATATGCAGCAGGTGGAATTGATATAGTATGTAAACGGCAGCAGATTCGATACTTTGTGGCATTTGTTACCTGTTTTTCTCACTTGCTTCCCCCTGCGTCTTCTGGTCTTCGTGTTCACTTTCCTTAAAAGCTCCACAGTTCTGGCCAGCATCTCAGTGGGTGTTTCAGACCTCGGGAGATGGATCATGGAGAATCAGGCAGTGTTGTGCTGGACCCAGCTCATCTCTATTTTAAGGAAGCAAGTCTTAGCCTTGCTTTGAAAACACGTGGTTTTTATTTAGTGAAGTCAATAGTGCAAATTTTAACAGCCATACACCCTTCACTATTCACTTTGCAGAAAAACATCAGTAGATATTTTGCTATCAAGAGAGTATTCATGCAAGTGGTATGCAGTATATATATTGCATATGAAGCTCTCCAGAAATCAGTCCATGTATATTATTTATATATTAACTATATTTTGGCAAATAGAGATTTTCTGGGAAAAAATAAGATAACTAAAAAATAAAATAAGAAAACTGGACTTTGGTCTATAATAGCAGCAGAGCGCATCTGTGTAGATGTCTGCATTTGTAACCTTGAAAACAGGCACTGCATATATGAAGGATTAGAGGCTGCTTCACCTATAAAAGTTTTTGAGTCCATTTGGTGCCACATTAAACTACTTGAAATGTTTCAGGACCCCGAAGATATGGTGGCTCACGTGCATCTAGGATTAGGCCAAATAAACCTCAAATGATACTCGGGGCCCAGCAGGGTATCCGGGGTGGTGGTACCGGTTGTGGAGCTGCCATCTCTGGGCCCAAGTTACTGCTCAGAACTGCCTACCACCCTTTGTCTCTGGTGGAAGCTTGGTTTCTGGCCAGAGTTGGGACAGATAACTCAAGACAGAGTTCAGACCCTCAAGGGGGGAAGTGATGAGCACAACTGAGCCTCACAGCCCACTCACTGAAGGTAGGCTGTCCATACTTCTAGGTGGCCTGGTGGAAGTCAGGTACACAGCGTAATAGTAGATGCCTTCAGTGTTAATACTGTCACAGAAATCCTGGAGCTAGATGATGCCATGTAATGCTATTGATAGGGCGAGTCACTTGAGGTACTGAGCCGCAGGGCCTTCTGCCTGATCCTGGGTGAGCAGCCATCTGGCAGAGCTGTACACAGGTAACCATTTGTAAAGAAAGATTCAGCACCAAATGCTCACTTCTGTCAACACCTCCAACAGAAAGGCCCACATGCCCCAGGAGGGTGTCCCAGGATAGTTTTCCAGTACTGAAAAAAAAAAAAAAAAAAAAAAAAGCCCCAAATGAGCACTGCCCATCTGCAGAAAAGGTTTAAAAGAAGTTGCTAGGGAAGAGGAGCAACATCGCCACCATGAGGAGGCTCAGAAGCTGAGTCCCACAGCTTCACCCTTCTGTCCTCATGGGGTGGGGCTGCCCTTTCCTTAATGCAACAAGGCAGAGGACAGTGGTGCCCTCAGAACCAGCAAAGAGACTTAGTTTCCTTTCACTCAATAACTCAGAGGACAGATTTACCAACTGTTTTTCTTTTGTATGACTGCAGCCAAGCCTTCAGCAAGGCCTGCTACCCTTGCCAGGATCTCAGTAGTTCTTGTCCCCAGTGGCATGATCTCCTACATCCCACCAGATTTCTGGAGCCCACCGAAATCATACAGTCCTGATAGAACATGTGAGGCCACATCACCCTCTCAGAACTGCACTCGGGGGAGGAGTGAACTGGGCTGCTTGTGGGGGTAAGTTCCTGATCACCATCCCAAGCCCTGGGAGAGTTTAAGATCATCAATTCCAGTGATCAACGATGCACCCTGATTCCAGCCACAGTAGATTCTACTCTGCAGGTTTCAGTCCTGCCTGGGCCATGCCAAGTGACCTTTCAATCCCAGCAACTGGGCTGCAGAAAGAGGGAACTGGGCTGCCAGCAGGGATGAGTTCCTGCTCACCATCTCGAGTCTGAGGAGAATTTAAGATCCCAATGGTCAAGAACCCACCCAGCTTCCAGCCTTATTAGACTAGGCTTGGGAGGTTTTGCGGCTCAACTAGATTACTCCCAGAGACCTTCATCAATCAAGGGAGTTGAGAGCACATGAAGTGAGTACCAGTGCATTGGTCCTTGCCCAGGGAAAACTTTGGACCATCATCCACAGTGGTTACGCGTCTGCCCAGCCTCCTGGAACTCTGGAGGTGGCATGGGAGGTCCTGTGGGCCTGAGTGGACCACGATCTGCAACCTCCATTCAGTCTCAGGAGCCGAGGGCATAGGAGATGTTTTCCAATATGCCCAGGGGAAGCCTTGGAACAACATTTGAAACAGGAAAATATAGGAACATGCCATAATGAAAGAACAAAATGCAATCTCAAACCTCCAGCCCATCCCAAGAAAGACTAGGAGCCATGTACATAGAAGAAAACATATGCCATACACCTGAAATACATGAAATAATAGCTACTGAAATAAAGAAGCAACTCTGGGAAGCTTTAAAGGAATTCAAACTAGAAATAATCTCCCAGGTAAAAGAAGAAATGATAAAAGTAATGAACGAGATGCTGAACACATCTAAAAAAGACACAGTTAAAAAGATAGAGGAACAAAACAAAATGATAGAATCCCTGGATGAACAATATAAGAAACAAACAGAATATATGAAGCAGATTCAAAGATATATACAGGAAATCAAAAATTCCATTGAAAGTTGTCAAAACTGCCTCAACAAAAGTGAAGATAGAATTTCAGACCTTAAAGACAAGATTGCAGCTAGTGAACAGGAAAAGAAAAATCTTTTAAAACTAACACAGAATCAGGAAATAACAATTCAACAGCTGCAAGGTGATGCAAATAAAAACAACAAGATTGATAGGGATAAATGAAAAGGGAATAACACAAATGATATCAAGAGGCTATTTATGGATGTAATACCTGAAAATTTCCCAAACATGAGAATGGAAACTGACATATGGATTAAGGAAGCATATAGAAACCCAAATAGCCATAACCAAAATACAGCCATACCAAGACATATCATAATCACCATCCGAGAAATCCAACATAAGAACAGAATATTAAAGGCTGTTAGAGAGAAAAGACAGATCACCTATAAAGGAAAACCTATCAGAATCACAGCAGACTTCTCAACAAAAACAATGAAGTAAAAAAGAGCATGGAGTGAAGTATTTTAGATCCTAAAGGAAAATGATTTCTACCCTAGACTGATGTACCCTGAAAAACTGTCCTGAAAAATGGATGGAGAAATAATATACTTCCATGACAAAGAGCAGATAAAGAACTTCATGATCAACACACCAACCCTGCAAAGAATACTGATAGACAGTTTAGATACACATAGGAAAAAACCATTAAGCAAGGCAGACAAACAGAATAGAAAGATAAAGTTGCAACAGCAGAAAGATAACATGTTAACAATAAACCAGTATATAACAGTTATAACCATTAATGTAAATGGTCTCAATTCACCAATTAAAAGAAACAGATTGGCAGAATGGATCAAGAAACAACATCCAACCACATGCTGTCTATAAGAAACCCATCTAACCCAAAAGGAAACTCACAGACTGAAAGTCAAAGGATAGAAAACAATACTTCATGCAACAGGAAATGAAAAAAAAGCAGTGGTAACTATTCTGTTTGCAGACAATGTGAGCTTCAAACAAAGAGTGATCTTAAGAGATAAAGAAGGTTGCTACATAGTGGTTAGGGGAAAACTTCAAGAGGAAGAGATAACAATCTTAAATATATATGTACCAAATGCCAGAGCACCCAGTTATACAAAGCAAGTATTAATAGAAATGAAAAATCAAGTTAGGAACAACACAATTATAACAGGAGACATCAACACACCATTGACATGAAGGGACATATCAACCAGACAGAAAATCAGCAAAGAAATAACAGAACTGAATCACACCTGTGAACAAATGGACTTGATAGACATACAGAGTGTTCAATCCAACAACATCAGAATACACATTCTTCTCAGCAGTACATGGAATGTTCTCTAAAATAGATCATATAGTAACCCTCACAACATATTTAAATAAATGCAAAAGAGTTGAAATTGTCCCCTGCATGTTATCAGATCATAGTGCCATGAAACTAGAAATTAATGATAAAAGAAACTGGAAAACCCACACAAACATATGGAACTTGAACAATACACTCTTAAGCAATCAGTGGGTCCCAGGGGAAATTAAAGAAGAAATTAAACAACATCTCCAAGCAAACAAAAATACAAATACATCTTACTGGAACCTGTGGGATACAATGAAAACAGTCCTCAGAGGAACATTTATTGCAGAGTTCCCACATCAAGAAAACAGAATGAATACAAATAAACAACCTGATGCTATACCTCAAACATCTAGCAAAAGAAGAGCAAGTGAAGTCCAAAGCCAGAAGAAATGAGAAAGTTATAAAAATCAGAGCAGAAATTAATACAATAGAGACTAAGAAATCAATCCAAATAATGAATGAATTGGTTCTTTGAAGCAATAAATAAAATTGTAAGCCCCTAGACAAAAAACTTTTATTTTATTTTATTTTTTATTTTTATTTAAAGAGAGAAGAAAAGGGGGACATAAAAAACAATGCAGTAAAAGGGTACAAATAATACAGTATTTCTAGAAAAAAATATGTACAGTATGAAATCACCAGTTAACAGGCTACACATTATCTTCCCATAAACAGTTGTCCATATCACTAAATTAAAGCATATAAAGTGAACATTCATACAGTGAAATTGGAGACAGTTCCATTCAATGATCCAACAAAAGCTCAGTTATATGGTTTTCCATCCTACACTCTCAAACATACCTGCGGTTATATCCCTTAGTCCACCTTACTTTCCTCTCTTTTTTACAGTAACAATTAGACTTTTAGGGTTTTATTATTCTCATGGTTCTTATTACTTTTTTGAAGAGAATAGAAACAAATGTGACTAAGCAAAAGAGTCAGAACAGAAGGGTGATGCAAAAATAGAATACCACGTGATCAAAAGTGGTTACCATTGTGCCTCTTGCTATTTTATATTGAGTTGTCTATATCATCAGGTATAATAGAATTGATCAAAACAGTACAGAACAAAACCAATAAAATCTACACTGAGGACCTTACAGGACTTAAAAAAAAAAGGATGATAGTCAATCCATATTGGGCATCATAGTATATCTTATTGCCTTCAAAGTGATTGCCTATACCCTCAAATTTGATACTATCAAACAAAATAGAATATATAATAATCAGACAGAACAAGATGGGGAGAGCAATACTGGGGTTCAAGTCAGGTAGCCAACCAAATTTTTAAAAGGAAAGAAAAGGCTCACATTCATGCAATAAGGAATGAAAAAGATGAAATCACTACAGACTCAGTGGAAATACAGAAGGTCATCAACATCTATTTCAAAAACCTCGATTCTCATAAGTTTGCTAACACAGAAGAAATGGACACATTCCTAGAAACATATGACGTACCAAAGCTGGGTCAAGAAGATGGAAAACTGCTGAATAATCCAATCTCTATTAATGGAATTGAAAATGTAATTAAGTCCTTACCTACAAAGAAGAGCTTATGCCCAGATGGATTCATTGCAGAATTCTACAAGAAATACAAAGAAGAATTAGTGCCAATACTCCTCAAACTCTTCAATGAAATTGAAAGGGAAGCAATTCTAACTTGTTTTGAAGTCCTGTAATACTCCCACTATCTTGTTTTGACTGATTAGACTCTGTTCCATTCTGTATGATAGTATCAAGTTTGGGGGTATAGGCAACTACTTTGAAGGCAGTAAGATTCACTAAGATGCCCATTCTGGTTTGACTATTGTCTCCTTTGGAAGTCCTGTAATGTTTACAATGTTTAAGTTTTATTGGTCTTGTTCTCTACTGTTTAGTTCAACTTTATAATACCTAATGAGATAGACAATTCTTTTTAAGGAAACAAGAGACATTATGGTAACCATTGTTGATAACCTTGTACTCTGTTCTTACATCATGTACTATGTCTATCCTTGGTTATGACTGACAGCTTTGTTTTGCCATATTTGACTTTATTCTCTTCCAAAAAAGGTAATAAGAACTAAGGAGTAATAAAACCCAAAATGTGTAAATTTTGTTGTAAAAAAGAGAGGGAAAAAAAGTGCACTAAAGGATGCAACTGCAAGTGTGTTTAGGGGTGTTAAATAGCTGACCATATTAATGTTTTTGGTTGGATCATTGAACACAACTGTTTGCAGTCTCTCTGTTTGAATGTTCACTTTGTATGCTTTGATACTGTGACTTTGAGCAACTATCTCTAAGACGATAATGTGTAATCTTTTAACTGGTGATTTCTTACTTTTTTTGTAGTTCTGTATTACTTGTGCCCTTACACTGCTTTGTTTTTTCTCTTTTTCCTTTTAAATAGGATTTAAAAAAAGAAAGGGAAGCAATTCTTCCTAAGTCATTCCTGGAAGCAAATATTACTCTAGGACCAAAACCTGAGAAAGACCCAACTAAAGAAAAGAAACAGTATTTTCAAACTCTATTTTGAGGATGCTGCTATCACATGGCTACTTTTTCTGTTTGTATTTTAAATTAACAATATGGACCACTGTAGAAAACCTAGAGTGTATGGGAAAGTAGGAAACAAATGTATCGCCCTGTCTATCACAGAAGGTTCCCCTTTCATTGGAGAGATCATCTCCCCATCTATTGGGCAACACCAGGATCTCATATAACAAACTGCTCTCCCTCTCATGTACAGTCAGCACTTTCTCAAAAGAGGGGTGTATAAAAAACACTCAGCATGTGATGGGTGACACAGCAAGAAACTGTCTTTAAAAAAAGGAAGAAATGAAAAATGTCTCTCTTGACAACTGCATAATATTCCCACACATCATTACCTACAAAGAAGAGCCAAGGCCCAGATGAATTCACTGCAGAATTCTACAAGAATTACAAAGAAGACTTAATGCCGACACTCCTCAAACTCTTCAATGAAACTGAAAGGGCAGCAATCCTGCCTGAGTCATTCCTGGAAGCGAATATTACTCTAGTACCAAAAATGACAAAGACCCAACTAACAAAACTACAGGCCAATTTCCCTAATGAACACAGATGCAAAAATCCTCAATAAAATATTGGCAAACAGGATTCAGCAAATCATCAAGAAGATTATACACCATGATCAAGTGGGATTCATTCAAGACATGCAGGGATGGTTCAACATACATAAATCAATAAATGTAATCCACCATATCAATAAAGTCAAAAGTAAGAATCACATGATCATTTCTATAGATGCAGAAAAAGCTTTTGATAAGGTCCAACACTCACTCATGATAAGAACCTTACAGTAAACTGGAAAAGATGGTCTTTACCTCAATATGATAAAGGCCATATATGAAAAACCAACAGCTGGCATCATATTAAATAGCCAAAAATTGAAGGCCTTTCCCGTAAAATCAGGCACAAGGCAAGGATGTCTGTCATCACTGCTCCTATTCAGCATAGTACTAGAAATATGGGCCAGAGCAATTAGACAAGAGAGAGAGTAATAAAAGGGGTAAAGATAGGAAAAGAGGAAGTGAAATTACCATTATATGCAGATGACATGATACTCTACATAGAAGACCCCCTAAATCCATTGAAAGACGCCTAGATATAATAAATAAATTTAGCAATGTAGCTGGAAACAAAGTGAATACTCAAAATCAATAGCATATACACTATACACTAACAACAAAATCACTGAGATAAGTGAAGCCACTCCCTTCACAATAGCAACCAAAAAACTGAAATGCTTAGGAAATAATCTCACCAAAGAAGTAAACATCTATACAGGGAAAATTATAATACCCTGAAAAAGAAATTGAAGAGGATCTCAGAATATAGAAAGATATCACTTGTTCATGGATAAGAAGAATAAATATTGTGAAAATAGCCATTCGTCCAAAACTGTTATACATATTCAATCTCAGTGAAAATACCAACAACATACCTCATAGATCTAGAGAAATCACTCCTAAAATTCATCTGGAATGGAAAGAGACCTAGAATAGCAAAGGTAATTCTAAGCAGCAAAGGCAAGGCAGGAGGCATCACAATCTCTGACTTAAAGTTATACTACAAAGCCATTTTAACAAAATCAAGATGATACTGGAATAAAAACAGATCTAAAGATCAATGGAATAATTAGAAGATACAACTACAACTACAAACACACTCAACCCCCTTACCTTTGATAAAGGACTCAACCTGTTCACTGGAAGAACGAGTCTCTTTAAGAAATGGTGTTGGAAAAACTGGCTCTCCATACGTGAAAAAATAAAACTAGACCCCTGCCTATCACCATATACTAAACTAAAACCTAAATAGATCAAAGATCTGAATATTAAAAACAGAAACACTAAATCAATTGGAAGACAAATTAGGTAAAAATCTTGAAGACATAGGGGTAGGTAGAGAATTCATGAACAGGAACCAAACCACATGGGAAATACTTCCCAGAATCAATAACTGGGATCATATTGTATTAAAAGGTTTCTGCATGTCAAAAGAAATCTTCAACATAGTAAAAAGAAAACCCACAAACTGGGAAAAAATCTTAGTGAACTGTCCATCAGACAAAGGACTTCTGTCTAAAACATAAAGCATTAAGACGCCAAAAATACAAAGACCCAATTCAAAAATGGGCATCTGAGATGAATACACAGTTATCAGATGCAGAAATACAAATCACAAATACATGAAAAAAATGTTCATCATTATTGGCCATTAGAGAAATGCAAATTAAAACAACACTGAGATTCTATCTCACTCGAGAAAGAATGGCCAGGATCAAGAAAATTACCAACAACAAATGCTGGAGAGTCTGTGGGGAAAAAGGAACTCTCCTGCACTGTTGGTGGGAGTGTAGACTGGTGCAACCGTTGTGGAGGCCAGTCTGGAGATTTCTCTAAAAGCTATGATTGGAAGTCCCCTTTATTCCAGCGATTCCACTTCTAGGCATATTCCCAGAAGAACTGAAAACATACTACCACAGTGCTATATGTGCACCCATGTTTAATAGCAGCACAATTTGTAATAGCTATATGTTGGAAACAACCTAAGTGTCCAACAACTGTGGAATGAATTAAAAAGTTGTGGTATTTTTATACAATGGATTACTACTCAGCTATAAAGAATGACCACATTGAGACATTTATAAATAAATGGACATAACTTGAGACCATACTCATCAGCGAACTAAATCAAACTCACATGTATAGATACCGTATAGTCTCCCTAGTATAAGAAATGGTAAAGAGTACATAAGAGTTTACGTATAACATTCCTTATAATGTTTGCATTCATTAGCTGGAATGGTTTATCCTGGTTTGTTTGATTTTATTATCTGATATGATATGAACAGCTATTTTGAAGAAAATAAGACATTTTGAAGAAAACAAGACTAGTGCTGATTTAATATTATCTTACTCTGAAGTCCTACCATGCTTTTGTTCTTCTGTTTCCATTGGTTCTATCATACTGTCTCTTATTGGATTTTATTACGTGTGATAGTATAAACAAATTTTCTATGGAAAATGAGATAACATAGTATATCCATTGTTCATTCTCTGTTATTTGATTCTAAATGCCTTGTAATACTATGATTCTCTTGAATGGTTTTATAATATTTTGTTGTTTGATACTATTGTATATGAATTTATGCTCAACTATTTCAAGAAAAGAGACATTATGGTACATACTGTTAATTATGGGTGGCTTGTGGTGAAATACTGTGTTGCTTACATTGTTCTGTTCTGATCTGCTTTGTTATGTCCTCTTTTTTCTTAATCTCTTTAAAATAAAAAAAATTAAAAAGTAGAACTGCACTCAGAGGAAGGCATGAGGCAGGAAGATGCATCCAGGTCACCTCGGGCCACAGCCGGTGGCTGCTCCTGCCTCAGGGACCAGGCCCAGGTGAGCAGATGCTGCTGCCATTGGCCCCTCCCTGTGAGGTGTCCCACTGACCACCCTCCCTAAAGTTGCAACCCCCGCCCTCTGTGCTTTCCTGGGCTGCAAGGCATCCTCCACCTCCTGCTACTGTCTACCTGGAGGGTGGAGGGCACGGGCCATGGCTATGCTTTTCCCTGCAGTCCTCATGGCCTGTCCTTCACTCAGGGATGTTCCAAGCTATAGTGACCTGAGACCCGGTGAGAGCTGAGGTCAGGCCTATAGGCTCTGATTCAATCTTCTGACTGTCCTCATTTTTCTGGTATGGGGATCGAACACATAAACTAGCACATGCCAGGCAGGTGCTTATGCCATTGAGCTAGATCCCTGGCTGTCCTCTGTGTTTAAGTGGGCAGGGCAGGCTGTTGTTCCTGCTTTGCAGATCCCCACATTGGGCTGCTCGCTGCTGACCACTGCTGTCCCCCACACTACTCTGTGTTTTTTTCTGGGTTTCCTACATTCGAGCCTGTTTCTGCTGGCACTTGCTCCAAAGTGTTCATACTGTGACATGGTCCAGGTCTCAGGCCAGCCAACTTGGGCTAGGTCAGGCCATGACTGCTCCTCTTCCCTTGTCCTCACCCTGGCCAGCAAATCATCCCACAGTGTGCTGCCCGCCTACCA